TGTATTAACTTATTTTGACTTCATTTGTTCATTTTATCTGCTTAGTTTCTTCCCTCTTTTATTGTCCTTGAGGCTTTGTGTTGTGTTAATCGACACAACTAACATCAGTATTTTAGAAAGGAACTTAAAGTCCAGGATGCTGTCCAGGGGGATCTGGACTTCATTTGTCCTTCTGTTGTCTTCTCTGAAGAGGAACTTATTTCATCCTTTTCCCTTTGGCAGTACTTTATGGTTTTAATTATTATAGATTGAAAGTAGGACGAGGGGGAATAGAGGATTTGACTTTTTCATTAACCTTATGCAAATGCTTTTTGAGTCCATATGTTAAATAATTAGCACTTATTTAATGGGAAAAAAACAAAATAAAAGCTACGAATCAGCCATTTCAGGACTCTTGAAAGTCCAATTTCTGCTGATTTTTCTGTGAAGCTATCAGTGCAATAAAAATTTAACGATTTATCCTCTCAGGTACATCTAAATACAAGAGTTAAGACAAATTGCAGGTAGCTTTTGGAGATTAATTTGCTTGGACGGAGGTATTTTTGTCATGTTGCTTGACAACTGTGGTTGTCACTCACTCACTTAACATCATTTCGTGAAAGTGGCGAAGTTATTCCCACACTTCATTATTGACTAGCCATTCCTTTAAAACAAGGTCACTTTATCTGTCTTTGTGTTGTACCTTATTTCCATACACCTGCCCTAAGGAGCTTAGCGCAGCTGGTCAAGCAGCAGTTCAGTTCTACATTCCTACGGCGTTGCCACATACAGAAAGAAGTAGAATAATCTATGAAGTCCCTGTCAAAAGAGCTTTGTTTCTTGCACTGCATTGCAGAATTGGTGAATAATGAAAAGAGAATTGCTAGTGACTTTCCTAGAATCGTAATGAGCGGTGGACAGCTTGGTCTTTTTCCTCAAATGCCTCTTTAATCTCCTCAGTTGTCTGAAAGCACAGAGACTACAAATCACTTTGTGCTGATGGTTTAACACAGATTTCCTCATCAATACCTCTATGTAATGCGACCCCAGGGCAACACAAGTATGAATAATAATACCAGGAAATTACAATCACAGCCTACCCGGAATATCTTCTCATTTTCATTAACATCCTGCTCTCAAAGATAATGTAATTTATTTTTTTTCCTGTTTGCATTAACACTTTTAGATTATCCACAACTTATAACTTATAAATAGACATCCTTGTCTTTTAGGTTGCACATCAACAACAAAACAATGTCTAAGACAAAGGTCTGTCTGTACCTTTTTGTCACTCAGTCCGGAAACAGTGTCGATGTATTGCTCCTGGATCATAAAGGCAGCCAGATTCGCTGTGTACGAAGCCAGGAAGATGACAGCAAAGAAAGCCCAGACCAGAACCATGATCTTACTGGTTGTACCCTTTGGATTCTCAATAGGAACTGAATTGTTGAAGACGATTCCCCACAGTAGCCAAACTGATTTTCCAATAGTAAATGTGGGACCTCCGGGATCTAAAAACCAAAGAAAACAGAGTTGAGAGTCAGTTTTATTAGGTTGTTTTCCAACTTGAATTCTGAAATTAGAAAAGGTTTTATTTTGTTTTGGTTAATTTGTTCATTTTTGGCATAGATCATTTGTGGTTCATACTTCCAAATGGTAGCTGTGGGAGCCTTTGTCTCTCAAGCTGTTAAGGATAAAACACTGAAACTATGAAGTAAACAGTACATTTAAATACTGGAGTTAACAAACTCTTGTGTTCAACATTTTTATAATTAGAATAAAGTAGATGTGACTGAAACAGTAATTAACACAATATTTTCTCTTTTTTGCTCTTATTTACTCTTATTCTCTTACTGGAGACAATCGTTCATTTTCTGCAACATAATATGCAATTCTTTTAAGTTGTACAAGATAAGTTAGTTTTATTTTTAACCTATTCTCTGTTATAAGTTTTAACTTTTTTTTGAAAGTAGGTCCTTCCTCATTGATTTACTCAATTTCAGTGCATGTCAGAGATATAAAATCTACACAGTGGATATCATCTGCACTAACATCTCTTAAGGCCAAAGCTGATGTGTAACATAAAATATTGGAAGAAAGTAAAGACTTGTCCTGTAGAGATTAGTTGGCAACCCGTGACTCTTTGCTCTTTCATCCATTACTGGGTATTAGGGGACCACATGGCGATGAAATGAAACTGCAGTATCTTGATTCAACAAGAATTGATCCAATGTGTGAACACCTTAAATAGGCTTTCATGCTACATTTTCTCTTCAACATTTGATACCTTTTCAGAATCCAGTGTAAGGAGTACAGAATTACAGCTTTCTGTATTTTCAGCTCTGACAGTATTTTAAAATGATGCTTTCAGTAGCTTTGTATTTCAGGAAAAGTTGCAAAACCCTTGCTAGGCAACATATGTCTACATGCAAGCCTTTGACTACTTCTGTTTCTTTGGTCAACATGACAAAAAGAAAACATTGATAGTGGGGAGAAGAGGCTTTTTTGATTAGATCAGAAAAATACCACACTACTTGTAGATTTGTCTGTAGTTATTTGCAGTCTTTTTCATTCCACTCTGCCTGTCTTTTGCTTCTTTTCTCCTGACAAACCACATTTGTGACTATATCCCCAACAGCGGTTCTCTTTATGCATGTAACTACCTGAAGGAATTTAGGTGTGTTGGGTAACATGAGATTTACCTTTGGCACTGACCAAGCTGCGGTTATACCCAACTGGACTGCAGTATTCAAAGACGAACACTGTGATGGCCACGACTGTCAGACACATGACGAACATCATGACCCAGACTGCTGGACTGTATGGTTCTGCAGAGACACACAGCTTAATTAGGCAGGGAAAGAACTCATAATGGCTCTTTTAGTTAACAATAGTAAAATAGGTAGGCTATTAAGATGGCTCTAAAAAGTTATACTGAACCACTTCTGATGCAGTTTTAGTTGGTAGCATGTTCTCAGAGTTGGTTTTCACCTAAAAATGCTGATGGAGAGACAGTCCCGTTACTTCTAGCCACCATCACACTTATTCCCGTCTCAACAAATGGCACCGAAAAATCAATGATCTCTGAACGCTCTTCGTTTATGGTCAGTGAACCGATAGCCATGTCCGCTCGCTTGTAGAACACCTGTTGACAAAAATAAAACCTTATAATTAGATTTTTTTTGTGTCTAGTTGCAGTTGATTTCAATTGATCCACAATTTCCTTGCTACTTTCTTTCTCTTTCATCATCACAGTGTCTGCACTACTCTACGTGACCTTTAGTATTTTGGTCACTAACATCTTTATTGTTACTAAAAATTTATATTGTCATAACCATTGTTAATCAATATATTGTGCAACTTGGTAGGATTTGCAACAGAAATGCTTTTCATCAATAAATCTAGATGCAATAAGACCATCGTTTTATAGTTAAAGCGGACATTAAGATTTTAGTTGCCCCACCCGAACATGATTTGTAACTCTTTTTCATAAATGTGTTGTTTTGTAACTTAGCAGTTATAAAAACACATTTAATAAGGAACCCAACTCATTTAAATAGAATACATTATAAGGTCTTTGTCATTCCTACCTCTCCGATCATCCCGTTCCAGATGCCTCTGACCAGCTTGCCATGCTTGCCGTTGGTAACCAGGTAAAGGTCGTAGGAGAACTTGATGGTGCGTGAGAGTTTCTTCAGGATGTCTATGCAGAAACCTTTACAGCACAGCTTGGTGTATGGCTCAGTGTGACCCACAATACTGAAAAGCAAAAGACAGTGTTGTTTTAAGGCAAGATTCTTTGTTCTCTCATACATAATGGTTTATGGTTTCAAATCTGTGACTTCCAGCATGTGTTTTACACATTTTGTATAAAAGACTTTCAAGCTCCTACTGCTGATGCAACATTTTCTTTGAAATATAATACACTGGTTGGGTGATGTTGCTGTGAAAACACCAAATCTTACCATTATGGTACTGTTTCTGGTGCAAATGTCTTCATACGCTTGAAATAAGACAAAACTAACTTACAAGTAATTTTGCAGCCAGATATGGAGCTTGTATGAACTAAATATTCTTCAATATTGATGAAAAAGTACTAGTTTCTCTGGCAGATTATTGCACTTATAACGTGGAAAAAAATTATTGATATAAGTAATGCATTGCCAGCGTAACTTTACTGCTGTAAAGTTACTTATAAGTTAATTTTGTTGTTTTCTATTGCTCTACTTGTGGGTATTTCAAGTGTACCAAGATATTTGTGCTAGACCAAAACACTTGGTAAGATTTTGTGTTTGATGGATATAAAAGCGTAGTTCATCTCATGTTTTCTCATAGTTTCTATCACATTTAAAGCAAACTGTGTTTAATATTTTCTTATCAAAGAAAAAAAACTCCTGTTTCTTCCAAGAAAAGAAACATACTTCTGGAAGTCAGCGATGTTCAGAAATAAGAGACTGGTTTCTCAGAACTGAAAGCATTTTTGTTTGGGCTAAAGTGGGCTTCATAGGAGACAGCCCTGTAGGAGAGCCTCCTGCTTATGATACATGTTGTGGTGTGTTAGGTATCTAGCAAGCCATGTATTGAAGGCAGAGAGCTCTAAGGACACATCACCCCTAACCTCCCCCAGACCCTCAGTTTAATGACCTGTGGACTCACACATGATAGGCCAGGAGACGAGGCAGCAAAGAATAACCAGAAACAAATGAATCCTTCAGAGGAACTCAGCCTGGCACAGCAGACCATATGTAAACACAGAGCTCCCAACACACCGCCTCACCAGCTGCCAGGTTCACGACTCCCCTCTAACTTAGTCATTAGTAGTAAATTAACAGTTTGAGCCTAACTGCACACTAAATATGAACCAAAGTTCTTAGCGTCTTTTAAACTTGTGTGTAACTGTGATAAATGTTTTATAATTTGATCTCAGGTTTTAAGTGCGAAGTATAGCTATTTTTATTTAAATTATTTTCTGCCTTTTGTTTTGAACTTTTTTGTGCTGTCATTTTCTGAACTTTCCATAGGAAGTGTCGTCTTTGGGCCTTCTCTATCGAGCACAGAGTGAATTCAGTGGACAGGACAAACAGCAGCACTTAAAGGCAAATTAAAAGTAATCAGTCTAACGTGTGTTCTTATAGTTATGGGAAATGAAGATGAAAAAGCCTGATTAAATGTCCTGACAGAACTTAGAGTTACAGCAATTAAACATTACTTTAAAAAGCTTTCAATATTTAAAGCTATCTGGTGCTGATCTTATTGCTCATCAACAGTTGCACTCAGTTTATGTCTTTTATTAAATCAACTTATGATTTCATTTTTATTGAACACTGTTAATGTATAATTATCTCCTCAGCTCAATGTCATCCTTCAGCAGGACATTATCTCTGAATGAATCATCCCCAGAGTGCTGTGAGGGAAACGTGTTATTTATTATGGTCCTTCTGAAGAACTTTTTTCTACTTTGTGAGCTGAATTTGCTGAAATCTGCTGGAGCTCGTCAAAGTTTCTTGCAAAACTACGAAATAATTTAAACATCTAATTTGTCTGTGCTTTGTTTGTGTCTTTAAATCTAAATATCATAATTTATCACTGTAACTTTTGGGATGTTTTATTGTCCAGTTAAATTTGTTATTGTGACTGACCTAATCATGCTCAAAACTACCAAGAGAGATGTACAAACAGATTACTAGTTCTGTGAAACATTATATATTTTTTAGAAACCATAACTGACTAAGAATAATTTTTGACATTGTATCTCTTCAAATGTAACTAAAGCAGGAGTATTTTTTTCCCTATGATACCATTTGTAAAGTAAATTCTCTTAACATTTTCAATAAAAACCAGCTTTTTTGTTGTTTGAAAATAATCTGCCACAGATATGACACATTTGGGTCTTCTCTGTAAATCTTTAGGATCTTTGGAAATGACATGCTATTTTTTCTTCAAGAGCTTTAAATCATTATTTACAAAAGCACTTTTGCTCAGAGTTGATTGTTGGTAGTCTTTGGCAAAATCTTTTGTCATGAAAGAAAATCTCTGGTCTTAATCTTAAATAAGCCCATGGGTTGAGGTTGTTCAGTGTCACACGTGAGATTTAGTGTTTTCCCAACCAAAGATGACCAGCAACAAATATCAAGCTGTGTCTGTTTTCTCGGAACTGCTCTTTCTGTAGCTGCTGTTGTGACAGGAATCTGATTGTTTTCCTTTTTTCCCAGTCATAATTTCTGTTACCTCTGTCTCTTTTCCCTCCAGTTCCTCTCTCCCTTTTCAGCATCTAACCCATAATAAGCACAGCAACACTCGTAGTCATATCTCAGTTTCTGCTGGTATTTTCATCATACAGTTTGACAGGATTTCATATCAAGATTTTATGCTATCTATCTCACAGTTTTGCATTTTCAAGTGTTTGAGTGTGCCAGGTTTTAATCTGTAAATTAGGTCCTCAGGTGGATAAAGCCTCTATGCTGATAAAGTCCAGCGTCTTCACCAGCAACCTGTTTGTTTTGGCTGCAGCTTGTCTGTCTTATTATAAATGCATTTGATGTTTCTGCCTTACACTGAATAATGTCATTTTTAAACATAGGAAATTTTCCTTCCAGTTTTACAAGTCATAGATATTTTTACATGTGCAAGAATATTTTAATATTAAATGTTTAGGCAGCATCAGAGAACATGTGATGATACAAGAACAGCTGTGTTGCAGTAATAGTATTTGTGTTCAGAACATTGATCACTGCCATGAAGCATTGATCAGCATCCAGATTTGATTTGATTTATGATTCAACTCTGGATGAAAAACTGTTGCGAACTTCAATTGCCTTAACAAAAGAAGCAATCTTCAAATCAAGAATAAGATAAAGTGATAATCATCAAATTATATAAACAGGTGCACTTTGTAACGTGGGTGTTGGCTTTCTACTGAGAGTTTCTAGTGATTCAGGACATCCTCTGTTGGTTCATGGTTTATGAATTGAATCCAATCAGAGCTGCTGATTAAATCTTAACAGTAAAGCTGTTTTGACAGGTTTGGTTGTTAAGCTGCATTTTTATTTTTATTTATTTTTACTAATTACTATGAAATCATATTGTTGCTGCTATGCACGCATACATGTGTAGAAGCCATTCTTCTTGATTGGTTGAAAGCTGACTGGATCATTGACCTTTTATTGACTGCTTCTTTAAAAAGAAAAAATGCAACTCAATGAAAAGGTTCCTTTGTCCGACAGGGATTTTTTCCACTAGAGGCTGGAAGATTCAGTCAACATGAGTGATAAAGCACCACAGTTCTTCATAACACTGAAGGGGCGCGATATTCATCTTCTGTTCCCTTCACCTCGTTAACACCATTGTCAGTAATGGATAATGGCCAGTGCTTCTCTCCCCTGCTAATGAACACCAATATCAGTCTTCAGGTGCTCAGGACTGATGACATGGCCTAATCGTCCCATCTAATTGATACCCCATCATGCACCACATATATTTCCCTGATTGGGTCACAAGGTGATCCCTGGGATATTGCACTCTGGCCAAGCAGCCTAATGAGTATCTCACCTCATTGAGTGATAAGAAGCCATGCATGTGGTAATGGCAGGGGAAGAGCCTCTTCATCTCATGGCTAATGGCACTCTCCAGTTAGATTCAAAATCAATTAAGATGGCTCTGCTAGCACATAAGGGTGTTTGAGGGACTCTACAGCGATCAGATGTTGGTTTGTTTTACTCAAGATGATTGAATGATTCACTCAACAGAGAAATACCAGTGCAACAGAGTGCTTGCAGAAGGTCTTTAAGTTTTATCAGTAGGTGCAATGGCAAATTCTGCAAGATAACAAATTGTGCCAGAAATTATTGCAATAACCAGTGATAAGACCACTTTCAAGTCATGGATTGATAATACAATAATAATGCAATTTTGTACATAGCATTTCATACTGGAACTGCGAGATATTTTGAATATCTAAAACACAAACAAAACCATAAATTTAATATAAAGTCTCTATACACAAAATTCCCTTCAGATTGGAAATTATCAAGCTCACTTTAGTTTTTATGTGATTGATTAATTGTGGCAAGCTCTGAAAATAAGCCACTGTCCCCGTTTGCTCTGCCATCACAGATAGTTAAAAACAGTCATCCCACTGTTGGAAACGTAGTTACAAAAATTAATCTGCCAAAATCGTAATCAGCTGGTCAGGCTTTTTAACGACTGGTGATCAGCCAGAAAAGTGCAACCCTGGTGGCTTCCTCTTTGTAATTTGTTTGGTTTCTAATTGTTCCATTGTGTGATTCATTTGTACATTCATGTGGCCTAAAAATATAATTTCAGATTCAAACATTTAAGATTTATCAAGATGCACAAAGTATTTTATTCTATTGAAAATCAGTTTTTACCTCAATGTTAAACACTATAAAGCAATGGTGACTAATATCTGGGGAAAATCCATGCTTGTCTTAAATAATAAAAACGTAATGTAAAATTTGTAAAGTTATTTCTATCAGTTAACTTACGCCTCTGTCTTGTTGGACTGTCGTCGGCAGGGTACAGTGTTGCTAACACAAGTACCAGTCACAGGGTCCACTGCCTCCACAATAACAAAGGGCCGCTCCTCTAGTGTAGCCACAGTCAGGTGTCTGTAATCTGACACCGGCTCAAGGTAGGAGCCAAACCGCGGCCACACCGGGTATCTCATCTGCAGGATTCCCATCTCGTACGTCCCCACCTGGAGGAGTGAAGACAAGAAGGGTGAATCAGCAGGAGGCAGTCAAACAAACAGATGGCACTCATAATACTTAGCTGTTCCATAAAAAGGCCAAAGACACCAACGGTTTGTGGAAGAATGCCTCAGATTAACAGACTTGAACGCTTACGTATTGAAGAGAAACGTGAGAAATAAACCATGTATTAAACTAATGAAACTACTTAATCCTCTACATTGTTCATCCTTAGCTGTGAGCTGAGGTTTTAAAGGGTTTTGATTTTAAGTCACAGAGTTTGTAATCAGTATAATTAAACATTCAGCAGTTCCAGCCTCTTCTAAATTAACAGTGAGAAGACTTTAATTGGACGTTGATGTTTAATCAACCATATTAACTCAGAAGCCTTTACTTTTTAGTAGCTGTCCCTTTGCCGCTGTTGAAATTTCTTAGGAAATTCTAATTTCTGCACATTATTTTAACTAAGCAATTGGGTATGCACTTAGTTATAAAACAGTCAAGTGTAAAAATATTGACCCATTTCATATGTAGATTGTCACACGTGCCATTTCTTTCATTATAATCTGCATGTTCCCAGTTATGGTGTTAGAAAGAACTGTGGGGATAATTAGCCATAAAACAAAGAGCAGCTGTTTAGGATGTTTTTTAGAGAGCAGTAACTTTTTTTCACCGTTTGTTTATATCAGAGCAATATGACAGCGTTGTAGCTTCTTTTCTACAAAGCATTTTAAACACTAGACTTAAATTTTACCTTTACATTTGCAATAATCAATGTAAATGTGAACTGGTTCTGCTGTTTCACATTAAAGTACTGATTCTCCAAATGTCAGTAACTTCCTGCAGATAAACAAAATAGTTTTTCTTCCAGCATTATCTCTGTTGTTTGTGCAGGAAGAAAGCAATCCAGTTTATACACTGCAGCGAGTTTGGCTTGTCACAATGAAATGAAAAGGGTGGAAAAATGGAACATGGGGAAGAAGTGCAAATATTTAATTTCTTCTTGGACTTCAGTTATTCTTCTCTGCTGCCAGTTATATCGACCAGTCTTACTGTTTTACTGTTGCTCCTCTTATGGGTATTTTGTTGAGGAAAACTACATTTTAAATTACAGAAATACTCTGGGGTGAAAAAACGGCTCCCAGTTGATTCTCAGATTTCATTGTTTGGTAAAATATGCTCAACTTCATCCAGTGAACAGCAAAAATTAGTGTTGGTTATTTCTAAAAAACAAAGCATGTGTTGAAATATAATGTGACCTGAGTGGTAAACAAAATTGTAAACAAAGCCTATAGTGGCTGTATAAATTTAAAGAGATAAGGTACACGAGAAGCTAATATTTTTTTCCCCACTTTTCAAAAATTCATTTTCAGGACAGAGACAATAATTTCCATTTCTGTGTTCATTACAGATAAACATGTAATGGCAGCAGCTTCTTATTGCCTTGTTGGATATCTAGTTGCTAGATAACGGTTCGGTCAGGACTAATTCTTCTTTCTCTCTGCTGCCTTTTTACTCCATTTTGTTTTCTTTTCATCTCCATCAGTCTTCAAAAGTCACTGACCTTTTGATCACCTGAATGGTTTATTGTGGAAATTTGCCAGGTAACAGAAACTGCTAGTTATAAGAACGTTGCATTAACACAGATTTATTAGCTGAAAGCTGAGCCGTATGGTGTCTCATTTTTGTATTTGTTGTGCGGCAAGACCTGGACTGAAACAAGATATGAATGAACTAGTGATGTAAACAAGTAATTGACTAGTTATTAATTATCGCATGATGATTTATTGAATTAAAATGTTTAATTTGATTGATTTAATGTCCATTTAGATGGACCTTCTTTCAGTGTTACAGTATGGCCAGCGAGTGAGCCGCTGCTCATCCTTGATGAGTTGATAGTTGTAAAACAGGGGTACCCAAAGTCGGTCCTCAAGGGTCGGCATCCTATCTGTGTTAGTAGTAACAACCTTCTCAGCTTGTCAATATTCTTCTTAGGCCTTCCCGTGAGACATGATTTGATGCATGTGCATTAAATCAG